GGATTCTCCCGTGGGGGACGCCAGATCTAAAAAGCTCTTTTCTTCCTCATCATAACCTTTTTTTTTTATTCTGCGCTTCCTCACTGTTAAAGAGCTTGTGTTCCCAAGTGTGGGACTGCTGGTCCAACGAGACCACTAAACACTGGGTCCAGAGGTGGAACCACAGACACCGGGCACTGCTAAAGAAGGGAGGGAAGGGATAGAAGGGGCACACAACCACCTGCTGGGTGCTGTTCACTACTTGGGGAGAGGGCTCCTTAGAAGCCCAAACCTCACCTTCACACAATTCACCTAGGTAGCAAATCCTCACATGTATACTACAGTGCTAAAATAAATTTCAATAAAGGAACTTGTACTAGCAGTCTCTACCGTCCCCTTAAGCAGAAGGGAATATTTGCAAACACCGAGTTCTGGTTCTTGAACAACCTCACTACATTCTTTTTTTTTTTTTCTTATTCTATTTTAAAGATGTAGGGTACAATTCAGGATTAGATCTACAAGTGGTCATCGTACAGGTAAAGTTTGAGCCTCTCTTTGGTCCCCACTTTGCCTGGTTTGAGATCAGGTGCCCTTACAGATGTCGTGCACCCCTTCCTCTCTCCCCTGGCAGTTTCTGGCTACTGCCAATCCCTTTCTTAGAGTAGTAACAATCTCACTACATTCTTACCACTGGATAGAAAGCAGAGCAAGTTCTCAGCATTCACCTGAACAGAAGCTTAGTCCATATAGTTCCAGAATCAAAGACAGTTCATTTCCCCACATTTAATTCTGTGATTCTGACTTAATATTCTTTTACCTGGGTGATGCTGATATTGAATTCAATCTAAGGATTACAATCAGAAATGCATTTCCTTGTTCTGGCCTATTGTTATTTCCTCTAAAATATATTTAGAACTGCAGTAATCATTTAGATAATGGAAAGAAAATGAGATTGAGTGTCAAAAGATGTTGTCTCTCTGCTGCTCACTGTCTTCATGACTTCAAACAATTTAAATATTCTGTGTCATGGTACAATGAGGGTGACAGTTCACCTGAGATAGATGTATAGGAACCATACAGACTAGTGAATGTTAAAAAAAATGCTTTGTAAATATGTCAGAACTATGGGTATTCTTATGTGTTTGACAGAAGTAGTTTTCTCCTTTTGAAATTTGCTATCCAAAAATAATACTAATTGGATAAACTTATAGTCTTTGCACAATTGTACCATAGTTCTAAAATCTCAGGATATGATATATATCTAGGTTCCCCCCTGAATATAAAACTGAACATACTTAAATATTTCAAAAATAGATTTGTTCGTGTACATTTTTTAAAACCTCTATTCTTTTGCTGTTATCACTATGTATAAAAGTCTTACAATTTTGTAAACCTAAATTTAGCCTATTTTTTCCATCCATTTAACTCAATTGAATAGCAAGTTGTTTTTTAACAATCTCTCTAAACTGATATTCTGTAATGACTCACTTGTCCAAGAAAATGCCTGTTCTAGTGAGAAGTCTGAACCTCCATTTTGTTATCCAGTTGACCACGGAATTAACCATGTCGTTTTGAAAATATTCGCTGTACTAATCAATGATATGTCATTCATTCTTTTGTTCATGGACCGTCCCATGTATGTGGATGGTTGTAGTGGGTTTTCTGTGAAACTTGCAGTAGACCTCGTGATCAGTTCAGAAATGTGCAAGGAATTTGTCCTTCAATTTTATAACGAACTTGTGGACTTACCTCAGCCTGCATTGTGGAAACTAAAGGTCACTGTAGGGCTTAGTAAACAACTCTGGATTTCTCACTCACCGATGAGAACCCACATCCTTCATTCGAGCTTCGTTTTGGAAACCATGACATTGAAATCTCTGCTTTATTTAAAAGTTGGTGGTCTGAGCTGCTACGTAGCTTTGCTTTGCAGAAGTACACGGATCTAAGAAAGTTAAAGAGAGAGAATGAGAAGCTCCCACGTGACCCTCACAGTCTGATGGCATTTCCCCATGCTCCTTCGTGTCTATTCCTGGTCGCATGTTTCCATGACACATTGGTGGTTGACCACAGTGGGACTTCTACTTCTTAGTAGAATCACCTAGGATTGTTTTTGTCCTACATGAGTGCTTTATGTAGGAGCTTTATCCTTCCTTATTCTCAGCATTAACAATAAAATCATCTAGATGTTTTCAATTTTTGACAAAAACATGACTTTTGGTAATGCTGTTTTTGAAAGTTAGATCATTCACGACAGACTAGAACAGCTACTATTTTCTTTTCAAGTCACCCAGAGCTTGCTTCCAAATCCACAATGAGATGAGTCTCTGTGAAGGCACCAAAACCCAGAGCCCGGCAGTGGCATCAAGAAACTTGGATTTTTTTTAAGTGTTTATTTTTAATTTTTTTAACTTTAAATTTTTTCTTTTAAAGATGTGGGGTACAATTCAGAGTGAGGTTTACAAATGTTCATAATGCAGGTACCCTTGTTAAGATGCCTCCCCCCCGCTCCCCTGGCAGTTTCCCTCAACTGCCAATCCCACCCCCCATCCCCTGGCAGTTTCCCACTACTACCAGTCCCTTTCTTATAGTATTATGATCATTGTTCAAGGTCCACTTATGAGTGAGAACATATGGTACTCTGCTCTTTGTTTCTGTGATAGATCACGCAGTATGATCGACTCTGGGTTTGAGTCTTGCTCTTTCACTGTTGGCTGAGAGATCTAATCTGGCAGTTCAGTTTTACCATCTGTGTGACCCTGAATGAATCACTTGACCTCTCTTATGTCTCAGCTTTCTCATCTGTAAAAGCAGATCATAGGAACGACTACATACCTCTAAGTGTTGTTGCAAGGAATCCATGAGGTTATGATTCCAAAGGGCTTAGAACCAGACTGAGCTAAGAACCTATGTGTTCTCAATAATAACAGTCATCAGTCTTGTCATAATGTCTGTATAGCTCACGAGGCTGTTAGGAGAATCAAGTGATATAATAAGTGCTGTATTAGGGTACTGTTCGATGCGTAGCAAATTTCACAGCCTAAAACACCCCCTATTTGCTAGCTCTCAGTTTCCATAGGCCAGAAGATCAGGGATGGCTTAGTTGGATTCTCTGTTGAGGAATTCCAAAGACTGAACTCACAGTGACAACTGAGTTGGGTTCCTTTCCAGAGTTCAGCATCCTCTTTCAAGTTCATGTGGCTGTTGGAATCATCCTCTTGATTGTGGCTGTAGGACTGAGATTTCCATGTTCTTGCTAGATGTCAGCCGGGATGGTTCCCAGTGGTGGGAGGCTGCCCACGATTTGCCCTTTCCATAACATGGCAATTGCTTTTGTCTAGCAGTAACATATCTCCCTGACTTCCAACCCCCTTGCTGCCAGCTGAAGAAAACTCTCTGCCTGATTAGGGCAGGTCACCCAGGATAACCTCTTTCTTGCCCTATAATGTAACTTAACCATGCACTGACATTTCAACATGTTCATAGGTTCCACCCCCGCCATGAGAAGAAGAGATCATGTGAGGGCAAGGGTCATTGGGGGTTTCCTTAGCATTCTGTCTTCCACAAACGTGAACAGGAAGTGAAAAATGAATAATATGCAAATATAAAGTGAGCATAGGTTCACATGGGTAATGTTTACCATTGTCATGATCGTTATGCTCATGATACCAACACATTGTTTGTGTTTGTTTTTATGTTGACCAGGTGAGAGTTCCATGGCTATTCACATGCATGATCACAGCTCTCCATAATCACGAACTTCTGGGCTCAAGTGATCCCTTTGTTTTAGCCTGCCAAAGAGCTGGACCTGTAGGCATACACCATATAGCATATCAAATTCTTAACCTCTGTCACTATTTTGCTTATTTTTAGTGGTTTAAATTAGTTGTAAAGATTATTTAATTCATCTGATAATTATATAACCCAAGTTAGCACTGGCTTCATAACTGCTTGAATTTCTAGTCTCATTGAAATATTTGCTTCCCATATTCTCTTCTTTGATCTTTGAATAACTGAACCATGGTACTCCACAAACTTAAGTTCCATGAAGACATCTTTTTTTGCTAAAATCATTAGTTTGGAAGATACTCAACAATGATCATTCTTACATGCACCAGTCCTGAAATTTCCTGTGGCCTGGTTGTACTCAGTCTTAAAATAGAGAAATGTAATATTTCCAATGCCTTAATGATGTTTAGCCCAGGAACTAAGAAGGTAGTCTTGGAGATGTTTACTCATAAGCAGAAAGAGTGGGCTTAAGATGACCCATTCAGCTATGGCTTTGTCACTTGACCAGCACCCTGGAAGATCTCACATACTGTGAAAGGCTCAATAATATATAATTAAAGAATGATGTAGGGAAAGGTTGAAAATCATTGCATCTTCCATTAAAATAGGATGAGGAAGTTAACCTAGAAACCCACACAATCTATACAGAATTAAGTAATATTGAATAAAATAAGGATCACAGACCACAAATTATAACTGTGTTCAAGATTGTCTCTGCCACTGTTGGCAATGTGATCGCAGATAAATCACTTTTCCTCACTGGAACTTGGTTTCTGCCTCTTCAACATGGGAGTCATACTGTCTATCAGGAAATGATGTACTGAGGGTTGTGTGGAATGGCCTGTGCTAAACTTTTAGATCAATGTCTGACACGTACTGAGCACTTAGTAAGTGATGACTATGGTTGCTATTGCTATGAATATTTATTTTATATCTTGACATAACATGCAGCTTCCTATCTGGAACATACTAAGTGCTCAGAAAAATACCCCTTTCTTTGTCTTTCTTCAGTGTCTGCTTTTTGAGTTGAATGGATCTGTCAAGAAGAGAATTTGGGATATTATAGGCTAAGAGGTTAACATTTGCCTAATTTAATTTCATACAATTTTCTTCCTCCCTCCCTGCCTGCTTGCCTACCCATTTTCCTTTCTTCCTTTTTTTCTTTCCTTGTCTTTCCTTCCTTTTTTCCTTCTCCATCTTTTCCTTTTCTTTCTCAATTCTTTTCTCTCAAGCAGATATCATTTTAAACTTCCGAACGACTTACGTCAGCAAGTCTGGCCAAGTCATCTTCGAAGCAAGATCCATTTGCATCCACTACGTCACGACTTGGTTCATCATCGATTTGATTGCAGCCTTGCCTTTCGATCTCTTGTACGCGTTCAACGTCACAGTGGTGAGTCACGAGCACCCTTCCACATACGGCCTCTAAAGTTGGCTTGTCTTTTCCCCCATGTTTAGGTTTTAAGTGTTTGTGGCAAATTTGTGTTTCCAGGGGTTTTTGGGTCCTCTTTAATAGAGATGCCCATCACAGCAACTTGAAAACAGTTGGAGACCATCATACTAAGTGAACGCTCACAGAAACAAAGAAACTGAGCACTGCATGTTCTCACTCATAAGTGGGACCTGATCAGATCACAGGTCACATTAGCACAAGGGTGGGATCGGCAGTCATGGGCACAACTAAGGGAGGGAAGGATGGGGGAATCACATGGCAACACAGTGGGTACCCGACCTACTACGGGGGCAGGGGAGAAACCGTGGCAACGAGAAGTCCAAACTTCACCTCTGTGTCAAGCAGCCCTTTCGTATAGTAAACCCGCACTTGTACCCCACAACTCTATTATAAATGAATTACAATAAATAAATTAAAAGATGCCCAGTTGTCCAGTGATACTCAGGCCAGATTCTCCAGCTGAGGGAGTTGCTTCCTTTTGAAACTCACATTGCCTATTCCTGCTTATTTGAGTACCCAGAACCAGGAAATACAACAAGTCTGGATTTATCATAAATACTGGCGCACTAAACACATCTGTGGATAAGGAAATCATCTGTAAGAATTTATCACATTATATTCCCCAGGCAGTTATTTGCCTCAAGAATTTGGTGGAGAGTTTGAAGACATTCGTCTCCTTCTATGACCTTTAATTCTTTATGTCTTCAGTATTCCAATCATTCATCAGCACAGCCAGTTGAAGACTGATCAAGATAGAGAGAAATGTTGAGATTGAAACAAGGGAATTCAACCACTTCTTAGAAGTCTTTGTAAAAACCAGTGCATGGGACAGAAACCTAAATGATATGGCTAACACAAAGTGTGAGGATTCTCTTGAATTTGCACTAATATGTGTTCCTTCTCCTCGTTCTTGCTCTAAATCCCTAACCCTTATGTCTCCTCACTGGACAGAAAGTATGCCCGCTTGTAGGAGTAGCTATTTTTATTATTTAATGATTGACATTCTTAAAGTATTAGATGCTCCCTTATCAAGAAATCTCTATGGGGTCATTTGTCAGCCACAAGTGCAATTTTCTGCTAGAGTAACCAATTCTAGCATGTAAAAAATTCTAGCATGTAAAAACATACTAAACATTAATTCAAATTAAACAAATTTCCTTGTCACAATTGAAAGCACTCCATAGAAGTCAGTCTTGCTCAAAAATTTAAAGGCATCGTTTTCAATATTGAATAACCAGTGTTTCAAATATACTCATTATTGACCTCAGAATGATCATAGAACTGTGATCTTGACTAGTTAGTACAGACTTGTGCATTTGGTAATTGTACGATCTTTTTTTTTTTCCATTTTCTTTTTAAGTTAGGAGGTTGAGAGTGTCAGCATCTTTAAAAGGTTTATGACTCAACTGAAAAAAAGTTCTCAGGAAAAATCGAGTATATATCAATCAATGCTGCATCGCATTATTACCTAGACTTTCTAAAGTGTTTTTTAAGATTGAATTTGACTAGATAAATGTACTATAATGAGTGCTTAATGACTTAAAATAAGGCTTTTACAAGACTGCAAAAGAAATCCAAAAGAAGAATATCGTTCATAAAAGGTTAAAAAAGTATTTCAAATTCTCCTGGAAAATTGGCTTAAATTGTCTATTAATTGTTTAATAGGATTCGATTTTCATTTGCTGCTTTGCAACTAAGCACTAGTACAGTTTATGTTTTATTTTTCTTTGGGTAGTGAGCAAATATTATAATTTTAAATATGTATGTAGAACATTTAATTACATTAAGTATATATGACATGTTTATGCATCATTCACATCCTCATTTCCTAAAATTAACATAGGTGAAGAATTTTTTTAAAGTCTGACTCTCATGTTTTGATGAATTTTGAATAATAGTACACTTTCCCTGTTCTCCTCCTCTCTTTTCATCTGTCTTATGAAATTGAACACAAATGCCTTATAAAAAATGCAAAGCGTTAAGCAGCATCCACATCAAAAAATAGGAAAAAGGAAGGAAAAAATATCTTTCTTATCAGTGATATTTTTTCTGCTTTTCACGGGAGTGAGCAGATGACTATTTTATTTTATTTTACTTTATTTTATTTTATTTTATTTTATTTTATTTTATTTTATTTGAGTTGGAGTCTCACT